CCTATAAGGATGTTGTGGGCTCCCCCCAGGGTCTTATATCACGGTGTCATGGGATACCCTACATGGTCTTTACCTGGGAATGTCCTGGATTACCCCACATGGTCTTATATCCAATTGTCATGGGCTCCCCCCCAGGGTCTTACATGCAATAACATACATAATCACATAACATAAAATGGGTCGGCCTTAGTGCCTTAGACCCATTGGTATGGTGAGAAGACTCACATTTGTCTGCAGAATCCAAAACTGCTCTCCTAACTACTCGTAACCTCCCGTGTTGAATAATAGTAATAACCAATGTTAGGACTTCACATAATAAAAGGGAAACCCAAACCCCAAGTCCTTCTATAAAGGCCCAAATATTCTTCCTTTGATAATAGGCCCAAAGTCCATGTGCAAAAATCATTAATGGGCCTCATGGCCCAATAAGGACTAATCATAACATCCATGGCCCCAAAACAGATGAAATAGCCCACCATCCCAAAAATACATCCAAGCCCAATAATCAATTGAGGCCCAATAGCTCAAGGCCCAAAACAAAATCCAAGCCCATCTGTTGTGCGTACGCTTAGAGTACCACCCTGGTACGCACAACGTACTAAGTCTCTGGGCCTTACGCGTGACATACGCTAGGTTACACCCAGTGTACTAACAGTTTAATCACTTTCTCCATTAAATGCCTAATACTCGATTCCCTTACATCCAAAAGTTAGATCAAAGCTTATTAAGACGACCTAGGGCATAAAGTTGGCAAATTTATGCCTTTGCATGTCTCATATGTTCCCAACATCCTTATTAAGACCTTTTTAAGGTTCTTAACCCATGCATAAGGTCAAAACACACACCAAGACTTCATTTTATGTTATAAATGGACCAAAGGACCTCAGATCTAACATTTCCATCCTCTGGAGTTGCTCAACTCACAATAGGAGATCCACAATCAAAAAAGGGGGACAAAACTAGAAAACCCTAGCTAGATCTAATGATTAAGGTGGAAAGGTCCAATCTTTATACTTCCATAATCTCCTTAAGGTGAACTAGATGCAGATTCTTGAAACCCAATTTCACTCCAAGCTTCCTTGACAACTTCTCCTTCTTGAATGATACTAAAAAAGGCCACCAACACCCTTTTTAAGTTCAAAATGGCCTCACAAGCTATCTCTGGAGTAGAAGGACGTACTAAGGATATGGAGGCTCTCTAAGGTTAAGTCCAAGGGGCTTAAGGATGTTTAAATAAGCCTCAAGTCCAAAAATTAGGTTTTAGACATCCGACATTTACGCCCAACGTACTCCTGGTACGCCCAGCATACGTGTTGCCCCTCCGCGATCGTCCTTGCCAAGTATGCTAAGCGTACTCATAAGTACGCCCAACGCACTTAAGGGACTTCTTATGCTATATTTGAAATTCTTCAAGGGCTACAAGGTAATACCTGATTTAGAGTGTTACATGATCTTTTTGATCCGTTGTACGGAACTAGTCACTTCTCGAAGATATAGTTTTGATCGGGGTATCCTCAGGTCTAGGTCTATGAGAAGGATGTTCCCGATACCGCTTTCAGGACCCGATATGGGCATTATGAGTTCTTGGTAATTCCTTTTGGTTTGACGAATGCACCTACGATTTTCATGTACCTGATGAATTAGGTATGTCGGCCATTTCAGAATAGATCGATTATAGTATATATCGATGACATCTTGGTATACTCTCAGAGTGTCGAGGATCATCAGAGGCACTTGCAAGAAGTTTTAGAGATTCTACACTAGGAGAAACTTTATGCTAAGTTCTCCAAATGCGAAATTTGGTTGAGGGAGGTCCAATTTCTTGGTCATATTATTGGTGCGAATGGGATCAAGGTCGACCCAACCAAGATAATGATAGTCAAGGAGTAGCCAAGAATGAAAACTCCTACTGACATTCCTAGTTTCTTGGGCTTAGTAAGTTATTATCGAAGATTTATCAAAGATTTCTCCAAGGTCACGGGTTTGCTGACCAAGTTAACGAAAAAGGCGGAGCTGTTTGTTTGGACAGATAAGCGATAGAATGCATTTCATACATTGAAGAAGCTCTTGTATGAGGTTCTTGTTTTATCCCTTCCCAAGGGAAACAAGGATTTTGTGGTTTTCAGTGATGCGTCATACTAAGGATTGGGTTGTGTAGTCATGCAGCGTGGGAAAGTGATCGCATATACTTCGCATAGAGGTGGCAATCGTGTCGTGTCGTGTCGAGTTCGTGTCGTGTCGGAACACTAAACGGGTTGAAAGTGCTTGACCCTAACCCGACCCATTTAATTAACGTGTCGTGTCGTGTCAACCCGTTTATTTTCGTGTCGAGTTCGTGTCGGGTTTCGGGTTAGGGCTATACCTCAAAATATGTCGTGTCATGTGAGGTTAAAAGATTGAGCATGTTGAAAGAGTAGGAGTTAGATAGGCAGAAAGGAAAAGCTAATAGTTTGGAGGCAGAATAGATGAAGCCATAGCAAGTTCAGATGACAAAATTAAAAGAGTGAGAGTTAGGGAGGCAGATGACAAAGGTCATGAGGATGTGAGAGTGGTGAAAGAGATTGGGTAGTTTGGGAGAGAATGGAAAATTTGAAATGAAGTCTTGAGCTAGATGGCTAAGTTATTTCAACATTAGAAAACAATTAAATTCAAAGACTTTCTTTTACTTATGGTTTTGATTTTGTATCTCTCTAGTTTATATAAATAATTCAAAATACTTGCATATAAATAAACGGGTTATTTTCGAGTCATATTCGAGTTGAAATTCTCAACCCTAACCTTACCCATTTAATTTTTGTATCGTGTCGTGTCAACCCGTTTATTTAAATGGGTTGAAATATCTTACCCAAACCCGTTTATTTCGTGTCGGGTTCGTGTCAGGTTTCGTGTCGTGTCAATTTTTGCCACCTCTAACTTCGCTTCAGCAAAAGAGTGTCGATCAAAATTATTCGGTGGACGATATGGAGTTGGTAGCAATGTATTTTCACTCAAGTTATGGTGACATTACTTGTATGAAACAAAGTGCACATTATATATGCTGATCATAAGATCTTGCAACATATTCAGAACCAGAAAGAGTTGAATATGAGACAACGACAATGGGTAGAGTTGCTTGCAGATTACGATTGTGAGATTAGTTACCACCTGAGAAAAGAAAATGTGGTAGCTGATCCTCTAAGATTTAAGGAGTCGAGGGTGTCATATCACATGAATTTTGTGGCATTGATTGTGATACTGGGTATATTTGAGCAGCTACGGGATGCTCAAGCTGAAGGATTAAAGGACTATCATTTGAAGGATGAGATAATGATTATGCAACATGCTCATTTGGTTGAGGAAAGTCGAGGACCTGGGACCTTTTAGGGGTATTTGTAGGTACCTAATGTAGGTGGTGTTCGTGACACACTGTTACGAGACACACATAGACCAAAGTATTTGATCCATCCAGACACAAAGAAGATATATCGAGACTTGAAAGCCAGTTATTGGTGGCCGAGTATGACATGAGAGATAGCAAAGTACATGTCAGAATGTGTGGCTTGTGCGCAAGTCAAGGCTGATCACCAACATCCTTATGGTGAGTTACAGCATCCAGAGATTCATGAGTAGAAATGGGATAAAATTACAATGGATTTTGTTACAAAGTTACCAAAGACTTTGCGGGGTAAGGACATGATTGAGGTGATAGCGGATCGGTTAACAAAAAGCACACACTTTTTGGCAACCAAGGAAAATGATAAGTTAGAAAAGTTGGCCAAGATGTATGTGGAGAAGATAGTTACAAGGCATGGGGTACGACTATCTATCATTTTAGATCATGATAGTTGGTTTGATTCGAGATTCTGGTAGAAACTTCAAGAGGAATTGGGTACGAGAGTGCATTTGAGCACATCCTATCATCCTCAGACTGATGCGTAGAGAAGAGGACAATACAGACTATAAAGGACATGTTACGAGCATGTTTTGTTAAGTATGAAGGTAATTGGGATAGTTATTTTCCTTTGGTGGAGTTTGCCTACAACAACACTCACCATTCTAGTATCAACATGGCCCCGTAGGAGATGCTTTACGAGAGGAAATGGCATACTCCTACATGTTGGTTGGAAGCGGGGGAGAAACATTTCGTGAGTTCGAAGATCGTACAAATTACCGAGGAGAAAGTAACGATAGCTCATGATCTCTTGTGAGTGACACGGGAGAGGCAGAAGAAATACTCAAACTAGAAGCAAATACCGAAAACCTTTGATGTAGGCGAGAAAGTTATGCTAAAAGTCTTACCTTGGAAGGGGATTATTCGCTTCATAAAGCAAGGCAAGTTAAGGCCTTGATATATTGGTCCACTTGTCGTATTGGAGCATATTGGCGACCAGGCTCATAGATTGGAGTTATCATCGAAGTTAGAAGGGATACATGATGTGTTCCATGTATGTTACCTACGAAAATGTTTATATGAAGAACCAAGCATTTTACCCGTGGATGAGGTATAGCATGATAAGTCTAAACGACTAGTAGAAGAATCCAAAGCAATATTGGAGCATGAAACCAAGCATCTACGAAAGAAGCAGGTGAAACTTATAAAGGTCTTGTGAAAAAACAAACATGGAGATCACATGACATGTGAGCTTGAGGATGATATTAGAGCTCATTATCCTCGTCTGTTTGTTCCGGTTCCTGATTTTGGGATGAAATCCTTTTAAGGAGAAGAGGATTGTAACGACCCAAAATTTCCATCTATCAGCAAGGTTAGTTTTTTGTTAATTGAATGCTAATTATTCTTTGGTGATTTTGGTGTTTATGTTTATAAATTCAATAATTTAAAATAAAGTGGTGTTCATTTAGAATTTTCACAAATTTTGATAAGCTAAAATATTTTAGACTTTAAAAAAATTACCAATTACATATTTTAATTGTTATTCTAATAATATAATACAATAATAAAACATATGCTATTCCATTTTAAAAATATTAAATATATATTTAATAATGTAAACCGTTTATATGACGTACTTATGATTCAATTTTTGGGTCTGGAGTTTTCCAAAAACAGTTTGCAATCAATCAATATCAAGTTTTCGGTTCGATTATTTTGTATTTTTGTGTTCTGGTTTCTACACAATGCACATTATAAAGCACTAACCTTCAACTATAACCAACACACTTACGTATACACATGAATTATATAAAATCTCCCCTAAAATGCAACATTACACCCTCTGGTACAAATGCAAAAGCCAGAAATCTCTCCCGAAAAGAACACAAATCGAAATTTCCCGGCAAGTTTCACCATCAATCATGCTAGGATAGTTGTACCGCATGCATCGGGAGCGTGTTTTCCGTCATCAAACACTAAGTTTCCGTTAACAAAAGTTGCCAGAACTTTTCCGGTGAGTCTTGAACCCATGTATGCCGATATGCTCTATAAAAAAAATGTGATTGCTTTAAAATGCAAGAAACAACATAATTTCATTAATTTATGTATTACATTATTCTACTTTTATTTTTTATTTATTTTCTTATCAAGACATTGTACCGGATGTTTCACATGTACGGTATAATTTTCATCAAGGTCAAACTCCTTTTCCGGTTCCCAAACTACAATATCCGCATGCTTCCCGATTGCAATCTCTCCCTGACAGAACAAAATAAAACAGATTATACTGTGTTTGACATATATCGATATACTCAGATTGTACTGTGTTTGACATATATCGATGATATACTCTGAATGATGTGAATAGGACAAAAATTACAAATCACTTGTCTACCTTTAGATCTTGGCCAGCAAGTTTAGCAGGCTTCTCACTCCACCATGAAACTAATTTCTCCAAAGTGACACCATATCTAAGCCCATAGGACCATGTAACAGGAAGTACAAACTGAAAAAATAAATAAATAACAAATTTCACTTATTACCCCCTACAAACATCACTGCAGCACATCTAGTCCCCTAACAAACAATTTATTACAAAAAGATCCAAGAACTAACCTGTAACGAAGATATACCTCCCCACGCCCTCAAAAAGTCGCCTTCCTCAAATAGTTTAAGCTCCGGTGCAGATGGTGAATGATCAGAGCTTAACATGTCGATATCTCCGCCCTAAAATTTAATCGCAAGAGCTTAAGATATGATAATCGATTTTGAATTTTGAATTTTTGATGCAAAAGCCAAAATTTTACTTATACCATTAAAGCCTCCCAGAGATTTTCTTTGTTGGATGCATCGCGAATGGGTGGTGAGCACTTGAAACGAGTATCGCCATCTGGGATCTCTTCTGCAGAAAAGGCTAAGTAATGCGGGCAAGTTTCAACAGTTACGCTATCACCATTGTTTTTTGCTTCCTACACATAAACATAAACAATTTTTAATAAGTAAAAATACCAAATGAAAGGGTATGCAAAGATACGAAGAAAAACCCTAATTACTTTTATCAATTCCAGAGAGGATCGTGAATCGGAGAGATGAACAATGTGAACGTGAGCTCCTTCAGCCGGACCACCAACTCTAGTGTCTTTCGCTACTGTCAGCAACTCTCTAATGGCCGTCTCTTCCCTAAATGACGAAAATAACCCTGGTTACCATAATAATTTAAACTTCATGTAGTTAACCTGAAACTTTTGGTGGTCAAAACATAGAACCTAGACTTAATTTGAAACTTTCGGTTGGTTTGAAATTCAAGATTGAATCAAAGGGCATAACGGTCATTTTACAATTTTCCAACATAATTTACACAAAATCTAGAAGTACCATGAGGCGGGTCGGGTTTTAAGATATGTAGAATAGGATCTCGGATCATCAACACCATCTTCCAGTTCCAATTCTTGCTGTTTTTCAGCATGGACAAGCAAAGGTCTCTTGTACTTGGCCAATACAGATAGCCCTTCCTATATGTATACAAAAGAACCAAGGATGAGAAGGGTATTTTCGTCTTTTGCACATAACTGGACCAATTGACACAAGTATTAAAAATATTTAAGTACCTTGATATGGGTAGCATCTGTCATGGGGAAGTCGTTAATTCCTGAAGGACACATGAAAGACTGAAAATGGAACATATGCAGAAAACAAGTGTAAGATATAATGCAACATAAAGGAAAAAAGAAAAACTGAAGTTTGAATCTCGAGTGTCCTAAAAACATGTACAGTTTTTTTCAATTTTGTACCTTGAGACCAAGAGCACCGGCGTTTAGGAGACCTTCTAGAATACTTGCATTAATTGCATTTTCGGGTACTAGACCTCCCCAAAACCCTAAGTAATAAAAGTAAATGTTAGATTCATCAACCTGAATATAATATTATAAGATACTGTAATTTTTTGTCCCATTAACATCGGTCTAATAAGTTTCAAGACTGTTTAATAGTTGTTGATTGAGTCAGATCTGATTGAGTCAGACACAACCCTGAATTTGACCGACCGATAAGAGGCATATTAGAGGAGCCTGGACCGAGTCAGATGCTTCCAAATGTGATATCAAACAGTCTGAATTTGACCGAGTCAGACCCAGCCATTTACCAGACACAGTAAATCTGAGTTCAATGCATGTCAAATACAGTACAAGACTGTCATGTTCTGTCTTGTGTAACAAACGGGGCCTAAAATGAGAAGATAAAATGACATTTTTTTTTCTTTTTATTAGTTTGAGGAGCTTACCAACATTAACATAAATCCTCCCTTTTGCAGCCTCTTTCTATCGTCCAATTGTTCATGATCATAAGAGAATGATTTAGTATTTCACTCGAAATAACCAAAAGAAGAACCAAAAATGATGGAACCAAGATAAAACTATTTTTAAAAAAAAAATAAAAATAGTAGATGTTTGAACTTTGAAGTGTATATTAGTCATCTTCACCTTAAGTTTTAAGGTTTCCTTAGAAACGGTAGATGGAAAGCTATTAAGAGGCATATCTATCAATGTTGTTATCCCACCTGTATAAACAAAGAAAATACAAAAAACAGTTTTTATTTTTATATCATATAAAATATCCATTAACCAGTAAGTATTATTTTAATAATCATAAACATATTAAAATATTGTCTAATTGACATACCAGCAGCAGCAGCCTTGGTTCCTGAAGGAAATCCTTCCCATTCTGCCCTTCCTGGATCATCAAGATGTGCATGCCTATTTGTCAACAACACAAACAAAATCACATTACACATAGAAGGTTTAATCTTTTTGTCACTTTGATCATTAAAGTTTACATCTTTGATAAAGTATTGAATCTAGATTCTAGAACATGAAGATCCAGATAGGAAATCAAGATAATTTATGGGAAAATTTCTTACACATCAATTAAACCAGGCATCAAAACAGCTTCTCCATAATCAATCACTGGTTCATTCTTGACTTGTCCTTGCCAATCTTTTTCTTTAACCAAAGATACGATGCTTCCTCCATTAATCTCAACTGTTCATTTGCATATTTAATCAATATAACCTCAAACTTGAAAACTAGTTGACCTTTTAAAGTTCTATTACTTTTTCAATTTCGAAGTCAATTAGAATTTTCTTACATACTCTACATGTTTTGTTTGTAGTAGATTCATCTTTTTACCAACTTATGTGCTTCACTTTTCTACCAACTTATGTAACAATGTTTCCCTAAAAAGATTTTATTTTTAATAATGCATATCCAAGTTGGAAAATCCAGATCAGCTAAACAAACCTGCACCAGAAATGATCTCATGGGGTGTCACAATGCGTTTGCTAGAAATCCAGAAATGATCATGAGGAAAGAGACTGCAGCCACTTGTTGTAGCCTGTTGCATTAGCATTTTAGTTTATTTAAATCAATATGAAAAAGTTATGAAATTTGTAACTTACAATATAAAAAAGTAATTTATTACAACAGTTGTATGATTTATAAGTCTTTCGTTCGTAAAGGCATTGTATTCTTAATTGTTAATGATCATCATTTATGATTGCAAAAGGTTAAAGAAAAACATAGCACTACTGAAAGCAATAAATTTCACATGATAATTGATATAGAAAGTTTAAAAAAGTTAAAGATCTTAAACTTTACATTTACTGATTTACCCTCAGAACTCTGTTTTGTTGTAACTTCTCCTTTACATTCTCAAGATATAATTAAACTAGCTTTAGATGATCATAAAATCTTAATCAAAATGGGATGTTCTGAACACTGAAAGAAATAAAATAAACTCAAATAGGGCAATAACTCAATTATGTCAGAGTATTTGTTTCTTTAGTCCTTATACATGTGTCCAAATGCACGTGACACAAAAAGACACAAACCACATAGTTGGTTTGTTTTTTCTGGTGTAGGTGCTTATGTGTGTGAATATGCCTCAAAAGTTCATCAAGAAAAGCAGAAAAATCAAATATTTTGGGGAAGTTTTGATGGGTTCTGAAAGATTCAATCAAAAGAGTGTAAAAGTTGAATCTTTGATGAGATTAGAAGATGAACATCACCTGCACAATTAAATTTCAAAAGTACCCCCTTATATTTCTTAGCTTTTTTACAAATTTGTCTTACATCTCTTTGTTACTAGTATTGTAATATATGTCAATTTCCAAAAGTATTTAAATTTTGAAACATAAAGATTAAATTTATTATATATGATAATTAATATCATTTTAGCACATAGCATAATATTACAAGGAACAAGTATTACATTATAATGATAGTTATACAATTAAATTAACTAGAAATGTATTAACTAAATCTTGAAGGATCAAATATGTACACATGAAAATATAACTTTAAGAATTATGTTACTATGCAACAAAACCAAAAAACATTCCGCAAAAAAAACAAAAAGTGACACAACGTCCCATACTGCCAAGTTGATGATTAATTAATGAATTGTGAAATTTGTCCAAAATATGACCAATTTATCTATTCATCCTCCAGTTTTAGTGAGTTGTGTGATCAAACCCATCACAATTTTATTATCTGAGTTTGATTCGTAATAATCATTTTCAAGATGTTAGATTGTCAAAGCTTATAGAAGATACTAGCATCCATAATTGCCAAATTAAACTGAATGCAGTTTAATAAGAGTAAGTTAACCGAAAGATTAGCACATAGACAATATAGACAATACATCACTAAACAGAACTAGGGTTTATCAGAAGAACAAACAAAGGGGGAAATCTAACCTTTGGAGAGTTATAATCGAAGTAGACGATGAATAGCAAATACAAAAGCAGTGGTACCATAGACAAAATCAGCCTCCAAGTTCCTGATTCCATCTCAATCAGCGGCAAGAGTTTGGCCGGAAACTGTGATCTTAGCCGGAAAAAGGTGGAATCTTTGGCCTGAAAGTATGATATCGATCACAGTGGGTGTTTTCCGGTGGTCTGTGGTTCATCTTGCTGCGGGTTTTATGAAAGAATCTATCAGAGATCAATGGATCGTGTGTGCAATGCACAAGTGGTTGTGGGGTAGGTGCAGTGGGGCCCATCTGCCTTTTTATAAGAAAAACGACAAAGATTTTCTTATGTTTCCAAGCTTTTAAATCTATTTTTTAAAAGGGTATTGGAGATGCGTTCTCTACATATCTTGGATCACGTTATTTCAAGTGGAGTGAGTGGATTGATTCCCTCATCCTCCATTGTCTTACGGTATATAGTAAATTACAAGAATATGCTCAAATGTTAAATTGCAAGTTTAGTCCCTATATTTGAAAATTAATTCGGATCGTCCCTCATGTATTTAAATACTACTCGTTCAGTCTATTGTGGTTAGACGTTAGTTTTCTCCGTTTGGGTGCCCCACGTGCCTTGCACGCAGGGGTATTTTTATCATTTCATCTTGTGTGCCCCTATTATAGTCGTTGCCCCTCCCCTGCTTTCATTTATCTTCGTCGGTCTTCTTCCCCATTACTTTTTCCCCCTTTTGGTTCTTCGATTACCCTTCTCCAACCAACAAAAATGGCAGTTAGATGCAATTGTGGAGCTAAAGCTGTGATCCGTCCCTTATGGAGCAAGAACAATCCTGGAAAACGTTACTATGCTTGTTCTAACTCAGTTAATTTCGATTTCTTGATAAATCTAATCTAATCTCCTATTTTCTGTAAATTTTAGCATTGTTAAATGTTTCTACACTTATTATGTAGGCCCGTGGTTGCAAGTTCATTGGTTGGGTGGTGGAGGATCAGAAATGTGCTTGTATGAACATTAGTATGAAGCTTGTACAACAATATTTGAAACTGAAGTTGTATCTAGCTATTAGTTGGTTTCTGTTTGTGTCAATTCTAATGTACAAAGTATAGGATAAGTTATCAGATACGTTTACGTTTTAGTTGTACAAACTCAAGTTGGATGTATCAGTTTGCATGTTAATGAAAATTGGGTGTTTTTTTGGTAATTGCCAAACGTGTATTCATACCAAAGTATTCATACCAAAACAACAATTTATATCATACCATTAAGTATTCATACCAAAACAACAATTTATATCATACCATTAAGTCATCAAACCATTACAAACATGGATTCATACATTAACAACCTAATTAATCATTAAGTCATTCAAACCATTACAAACATTCACAAAGTCAACATAGTTTGAATTACATCACCATTATAGTTAAAGAAGTAGCACAACATTAGTTCAAACTGAAATTACATACCCAAAAGACATGAAAGAACATTGTTTCAAGTACATCAAAAGCATTAGCCAACAAAAAGACAAGAAAGTAATACACAAACACTAAACCATCAGGCTTTTTCCCTTGTTCACAACACCTGAGTTCTGTCCCACACCAGCATTCTGTCCCACATCACTACCACTGACTTGTAATCCTCCCACTGCCTGCCCCTTGGAGCTCCTACCATTATGCCCAATATTTCCACACTTTGAACACCTAACTGGTATGGTCCCTGTAGCACTATCATCTTCAGTAGCAGGTCTTCTTCTTTTCTTTTTTGGCCTACCAATAGGCACATGATGTTTTGGTGGTAGTAACTTTATTGGACAAGGACTTTTTGCCCACATCATCCTCCCATTAATTGGTTCAATTTTAAATGCATACATGTCTTGCCATGTCTTCAACCAGTATGTTGGGTGAACCCATGTTTTAGGTATCCCAACATTCTCATTATTTCTCCTCATATCCCATATAGCTACAATTGTGTGCTTGCATGGTATGCCAGTGACCTCCCACTTGTTACATGAGTATGTATGTTGTGTTATGTCAACTATGCATTGGTCCACACATTCACCACCTATAACCTGATACTTCCCATTTCCACAAAACACAGCCCTATACTCTGAAGCTTCACCTTTGATCTTCTCTAGAGTCTTGGTAGTTGTAGGAGTTAGTGGGCCATAACATTATGTACTCTCTAATAAATTCCAAGCAACTTATAATTGGTTGTCACGACCCTTGACAAGTTTGCTATTCAATGTCTCACAAAGATTGTTTACCAATGCATCACAATGTGCTCTTCCTGTAGAATAACAATGTTGCATCATAAATTTCAGTAATCTTTTAAGATGCATAATCAACAATGTTGAAGAATTCTAACATGTATAACTAATGTGTGAAGTGAGACCTGGACCAATGTTGGGGTGGAATGGCTTTAAGTCATTCATATGCATCATTGTTCAATTTCTTCAGTTCCTCCATTGCAAGATTGAATTGATGTACAGTTGATGTTGTTGCACATTTCTAGAGACAATCTTTAAACTCCTTGCCCCTCCACTTCCGCTTCATATTGTCATGGGTATGTCGAAGGCAAAATATATTTTCTGCACATGGAAACAATTTTGCAATTGTAGGCAAAACACCCTACAACATAAACACAATCAATTTTATATAATTAGTACAAATAATATAAAGGTTAAGTAGTTAAATTTTGTATAGTATTACCTTCTGCATATCAGTTATAAATGTGAAGTTTGAATTGGTAGTCAAATCCAAATCATCACCAAGATTTTTTAGAAACCATGTCCATGAGCTGTATTTCTCAGACTCTACAACACCATATGTCACTGGGTAAGTGCAGTTGTTTCCATATAATCCCTATAACATTAAAATTAGGTTAACATCTATAAGTCATACGTAAGATTAATTAGTTAACTCATGTATAAAATTACTTACCACGGTAGTTAGATTCATACTAGGGTAGGGACCCTTCATGAATGCACCATCTAGTCCAAGAAAGTCCATTTTCCCTGTTGTAAATCCTTGTTTCAGTGGACCAAGACATATATACATATATATATATATATGTGTGTGTGTGTGTGTGTGTGTATGTGTCTAAAAATCCTAGTATCTAATGCAGGGTTAGAAGAATTATCCACTTGAATCTTGACTGTTGTGTTTGGGTTTCGACCTTGAACCTCCAGTAGATAGTCCCTCAATATAGAATATTGACCCCCAAAATCACCCCTAATAGTTTCTAGGGACTTTGCTTTTTCCCTGAACACTTTCATGTCCGACATCTGAATTTGGTATTTCCTCTTTAGCTACTCCTTTAAAGCCCTGATTGTATTTCTAGGTTAGACTCCAACTGCTCAAGAATTTGTTTGGAAAGAAACTTGTAATTACAAGCTTTGATTTTTCTTGTTTGGAGACATTTATGCTCCTTTTCATACATTTTCACAGTCCAATCATCATCCTTTTTCCATTTACTTACGAAAAGTTTCCAAGGGCACTTATTGCTTTCATCTACTTTCACTGCACTTTTCTTTTTACTTGGTCCTCCTTTTTCACACGTTTGACTGGGTCCACCATTTATGTTCCTTTGACTTGGCCCACCTTTCCCACTAGTTTTACTTGGTCCACCTTTCCTAGAAGTCTCAAGTATCCCCATATCTGGTATTGTTCCTTTACATACTACCCTGGCCCTGTTTTTATCATTCTTGACAATATCCAATTCTCTTCTTGTCTCTATTGCATGCAAGTAAATTATGTCTTTTGCTTCCTTAGAACTTAAGAATGTTTGAAGTATGTAGAAAGGGTCACTCACTTGAGCTGCATCATTTATCAGTGCCCTTTCAGTAGCCCGAATTTTATTTCTTCTTTTACTCATTTTCCCTTCATCGGATGATGACTCAGATTGCAAAACATCAGTGTTGATCATCTTCGTCTCCTCATCACACATTGCTACATTCTCTATTGTAATAGGGGCATCACCAACCCACTCCAAATTATCATCAATGTTGAGGTAGAAATCATGCATGTCCACCTGAGGATCATCCAACAAGTTATCCTCATCCACAATGAGATCACTATCACTTGAATCTCCACTACCCTCACTATAACTAGATCCACCCAGGGCTTCACTAAAGGGTTCTATAATAAGGGGTTCCATGTTTGGGTCTTTCACAGATTCAACTTCAATAAGGGATTCCATGTTAGGTTCCATTGTGGGGGTTTGCATGCTTGGTTCTAATTCATGGTAAAATTAGAACCCTAGAATTTGAGGAAACCTCCAAATCCGAATTTAGACAAAATAGGGGCAAATCAATGATAAAGCTTGAACCTTTGATGAGTTTTAAGTGTAAAGATCATACCTTTTCCCTTGAAAGTCAAGGATTAAGCAAAAAAATCGAAGAAATCACAGAAATCGCTTGAAGGAGGCTGTGCACGGCGAGTGTGTGGATTAAATGGGTGAAAACCCTTATTTTACAGATTATAAACCATCTGTGTAAGTTGGCTACTCGCTGAGTAGAACTGCATTTACGCGTTTTATGGGTTATTTTGGCAAGTACTTGCCGAGTACACATACCTACTTGGCGAGTAAACCTTGCAGTTTGACAAAAATTGAATGTTTTTTTCTCATTTTTAACCCTCCACCCCACACTCTAGGCATTGCTTGCCCTCAAGCAATTATATTCTCAGAAGAAGACGAATAAAAAAATATCCTAAAATAATTAAAAACAAAGTAAAGGAAATAAAATGCAAACTCAAAACTCGGGTTGCCTCCCGGAAGCGCTTCTTTTTAAGGAGTCATTAGCTGGACTCCTCCCCTTCTATGTGGCTGCAATCCCTTCTGGCAACATCAACTCTTCCATGCCTTCATTCCTTGGAACTCCTTCTTCATACTTTTTGACCATATATCCATTGACCTTGAAAGGTGTTCCATCTTTTGACAATAGCTCTATAGCACCGTGTGGAAACACCGTCTTCACCAGAAAATGACCATCCCATCTTGACTTGAGTTTTCTAAAGAAGAGTTTTAGCCTTGAATTAAAGAGCAACACCTTTTGGCCTTCATGAAATTCTTTATTTTCTTTTATCCTCTTGTCATGCCACATCTTGGTCATCTCTTTATAGATCAAAGAACTAGTGTATGCATCATTTCTAAGTTCCTCAAGAGCATTCATTTGCCTTAACCGGTTGCTCTTGAGCTCCTCGATGTTGAAGTTGCACATCTTTAAAGCCCAAAAAGCTTTATGCTCTATCTCCACCGGCAAATGACATTCCTTTCCATAAACTAACCTATATGGTGTAGTACCAATAGTCATTTTGAAAGATGTACGAAAGGCCCAAAGTGCATCGTCTAGCTTATCCGACCATTCTTTTCGATTGCTCCCCACCGATTTCTCCAAGATTCGCTTTAAAGTTCGATTTGTCACTTCAGTTTGTCCACTAGTTTGTGGATGGTAGGATGTAGAAAATTCATGGGTGACCCCATATTTCCTTAGCACCTTCTCTAGTTGATCATTGGCAAAATGAGGGACTCGGTCACTTATAAGAGCTTTTGGGACTCCAAATCTTGAAAATGACTTCTTTAAAAACTGCACCACCACCCGACCGTTATTAGTTGGTAAAGCTTGTGCCTCCTCCCATTTGGATACATAATCCACCGCCACCAATATGTATTTTTTGCCTTTAGACATGGGGAATGGTCCCATGAAATCGATCCCCCACACATCAAATACTTCGCACACTTGGATATTATGTTGTGGCATTTCATTTCGAGATGAAATGTTTCCCACTCGTTGACAAGCCTCACACTCTTTGACAAATTGGGCTGCATCTTTAAAAATCGTGGGCCAGTAAAACCCAATGTCAAAGATCTTCTTTGCAGTGTAATGTGCTCCGTGATGTCCACCCGTGGGCCCGCTATGACAATGCTCCAATATTTTCCTACTTTCATTCCCGAACACGCATCTTTGTATGATTCCATCCGCGCAACTTCGGAAAAGATATGGTTCATCCCAAAAGTAATATTTTATCTCGGAAAAGAATTTCTTCTTTTGTTGACTTGTGAGATCTTTTGGGATGTATTTGCTAGCTAAGTAATTAGCTATATTTGCAAACCATGGTTCTTCTCCCACGGTCACCATAATATACTCATCTGGAAAATCATCTCCAACTCTATCTTCTTGTAATCGCGGGTTTTCAAGCCTTGACAAGTGGTCAGCTGCTACATTCTCCATTCCCTTTTTGTCTCGTATCTCTATGTCAAACTCTTGAAGAAGTAGCACCCATCGTATCAATCTTGGCTTGGCATCTTGTTTGGAAAATAAATACTTGATGGCAGAGTGGTCGGTAAAAACAGTTGTTTTAGATAAAGCTAAATAAGGACGGAATTTATCAAAAGCATACACCACAGCTAATAATTCTTTTTCCGTGGTGGTGTAATTTTCTTGGGTTGGATTTAAAGTCTTGCTAGCATAATATATGGGTCGAAAGTGCTTATCAACCCTTTGACCAAGGACAGCTCCTAATGCAAAGTCACTAGCATCACACATTATTTCAAATGGTAAATTCCAATTTGGTGCAATAATGATCGGGGCATTAGTTAATTTTTCCTTTAAAAATTCAAATGGCTCTAAACACTCTTTAGTAAAATTAAATGGTGCATCTTTTAAGAGTAATTGTGTTAGAAGTCTAGTTATTTTAGAAAAATCTTTTATAAAACGCCGGTAAAAACCCGCGTGACCTAGAAAACTTCTAATGCCCTTCACATTAGTTGGTGGGGGTAATTTGGCAATGGTGTTAATCTTTGTCCGATCTACTTCAATTCCCATTTTGGAAACCTGGTGGCCTAACACTATACCCTCCTTGACTATAAAGTGACATTTCTCCCAGTTGAGGACTAAATCAGTTTTTTCACACCTAGCAAGCATTAAGTCAAGATTTGTGAGACAATCATGGAAGCAAGATCCAAAAACAGAAAAATCGTCCATAAAAACTTCCATGAATTTTTCCACCATATCGTGGAATATGGCTGTCATACACCTTTGAAAAGTCGTGGGTGCATTGCATAGCCCAAAGGGCATGCGTCTATAAGAAAAAGTCCCACTTGGGCAAGTAAATGTTGTCTTTTCTTGGTACATTGGGTATATGTGTATTTGGAAATAACCCGAGAACTCGTCTAGAAAGCAATAATAACTATGCTCGATAATCTTTCTAATATTTGATCAATAAAAGGTAAGGGAAAATGGTCTTTACGAGTGGCATCGTTTAGCTTTAGATAATCGATGCACACTCTCCAACCGGTTATCGTTCGTGTCGGAATTAGCTCGTTCTTTTCATTGGTTATGACCGTCATCCCTCCTTTCTTGGGCACCACTTGGACCGGACTCACCCACAGACTGTCGGAAATGGAATAGATAATTCCTGCATCTAAGATTTTGACCACTTCCTTCCCGACCACTTCTTGCATATTCGGGTTTAATCTTCTTTGGTGCTGTACAACCGGCTTTCCTCCTTCTTCTAGATTAATCTTATGAGAGCAATAAGAGGGGCTTATTCCCTTGATGTCGGTGATGCTCCATGTAATGTGTAAAGCCCGCGTTTCCAGGCTAGGAATTATTATTGATGTTATAGTCTAGGTTAACCCTTGTAACTCTTTTTGAAGTATTAATGATGAAATATTTGAGTATTATGTGAATTAAGTGTTTATTTTCTTAATTATTATAATTTAATGAATTAAGAATAAAATAAGCATCAAATTTGACGTGTGGGATAATCCCAATATCTTTGCATAAAGATGTAGTGGTCGAAACAAGGATTCCAAAGATATAAAGAATGCCGAAATCTGAGTTATAACGAAGAAGTTATGACCTGTCGAAGTTTCACGACAGAACCGACAACACTGAATTATGTAAAAAGTGAAATTTATGTTAGAGCGATATTTAGCCTTAGTGATCTAAACGAAAGTCGTAGAGTTCGTTAAACCGAGAGCGTGCATAAAAAAAGGCCCAAATCTGACTTCATATGAGGAAGTTATGATTTTTCGATGTTTCGACTTAGCAGTATGCAGCCCGAATACTCGATTTGAGATCGAGTAGTTTTTAGCCGAAACAATCTAAATGAGAATCGTAGGTCTCGTTAATAGTAGTAAAATGATAAAAAGATAGGCGAAAACGGACGTCGGATGAAGAAGTTATGAATTTATAACGGAGTTTTCCTGTCCCGGCCTACTAAAAATAAATAATAAAAATAAAGTCAGAATTAGCCGACGGAGTCTAAATGAAACTTGTAGATCGTAGTCTCACCTACGCGTGAATATAAAGAACGTCAAAAACGGAGTTCGTATGAGGAAGATATGAATTTTTGAAGTTTATTAAAGATTTTTGATATTTAATTTAAATATATATTAACCAATATTATCCACCGGGGGGGGGGGGGGGTTCAGTGACACTATCTTCATTACGCCCTGCATAATTTCATATTACGCTCAACGTAATTCGAAGTTCCAGCCCCTATAAAAGGATGTTGAGGGCAACCGAGTTCATTGCTCATTTCTTCCCTTTTTCTCGCGTTTTTGCATCGTTTTTCGTGCAAGAATTATCCCGAAGCCCCGGTATCATTCCCGAGCCCTGAAGCAAGTCCCGAAGCCCCGAAGATCCCGAGAAGTGAAATTCCCGAGCCGAAGCTCTGCCCGCGAGGAGTCCGGTTTTTGTAAAGATCTTCCAAATCTTCCGAAGAATACTACTTCTACAAGCCGTGATGTTGTCTGACCATCTTCTGATTAGGTGAGTGTGTGGTTACTTTCTTCTAACGCATAATTATGAAGTATTTCATACGAAATACGTGTTATGTGTATATTTTATTGTTATATGCGTGAATGTATATTCACTTTCTTCTATATCATAGATATGATTTATTCTCTATGAAATACGTGTTATGCGTATGTGTCTCATCTATTGTTTTGGAATATGTATTGAATGAGAATGCTATACAAGTTTTGGATATGAATAAAAATATATATATTTATCTACTAATATGTCGGGTAGAACATGGGTAGATAGTTGACGTGTGATAAACAGATGAGATGCCTCAATGTTGTTTTTGATTCAGTCATCTAGCGGAGTTTAGATGACAACCACAGACCTTTCTAGACAGTCATGTGGAACGCTAGCAGGTTCGCCACATGTAGGTGTTAATGAACTTGGGTGTTCATTAGTTGTACTCCATCCCCCT